TTTATGTGGTGCTAAGGATCGAACCTAGTGCCTCAAATGTGCTAGGCAAATGCTCTACCACTGAGCTACAACCCCAGCTCTAAGGAGTGCTGAGTTTTTAAAGACAATTTTTGCCAACTGCCAATTTTTTTAGGGAATAGATTTACAGGTTTCTATATAGAGCTTTCTATAGTCTGGATTTTGCTGTTTGTATCCTTGTGTAACCCTTCACATGTTCTTGTGTTCCTGCTATTTTCTATAAATTGGTAGTTAGATCTACGGTTTTGATCAGATTTGGGATCTTTTAAAATTTTAATAATTTTTTAACTTGACAAGGACATTTTATAGGTAGTATTATTTAATAGATAGTATTATTTATTCCATTAGAAGGAACTTAATATAGCTGATTATCTTTTTAAAAAATATTTTTTATTGTAGATGGACACAACACCTTTATTTTGTTTATTTTATTATTTTTTTTTAATGTGGTGCTGACAATCGAACCCAGTGCCTCACATGTGCTAGGCAAGCACTGTTCCGCGGAGCTACAACCCCAGCCCCCTGATTGTCTCTCTCTTATTATATAGTGGGCATTGATGATCATTGCCCAGATTTAGTTCATCAGTGTTGAAGTGGTAATATTTTATCATTCCTTCTTTATATATTATCTGAAATACTTTCTCTAAAGAAAAATTTATCTTCATTTTGATACTTTTAGGATTTAAAAAAATTGTCCCTCTTTTAATTGTCCTCGGTATCCTGGGAACAACCTAGTCTATGATTACTGAAAATGAAAGTAAATGTTCTCATTAAGAAATTAGAAATTATTGCTTTACTCATTCCCTGGTGTTATTGTTTAGAAATTGTGTGACCTTGGACAAGTTCTTTAAATTCTTTGGGCTTAATTTACCTTGTCTGTTAAATGGGAATGATAATAGCTACCTTGATTGAGTTGTTATAAAAAAGTAAATTTCATGGTGCATGTGAATCTAATCATCTTTGGCATATAGTATTGCTTGGATAATGGTTGTTATTATCTATTGATTGATTTATGTTATAATTCAAGAATATTTTATGAAAATTTTGATTATTAGTTATTGTTTCCCAATTCTTTAAAGCAGTAGTTCACAGATGAGGGAACCTGCATTTGGCAATGTCTGGGAACATTTTTGGTTGTCTTAAATGAGAAAGGGAACATACTGGCATCAAGTGGGTGAGACTAGGGATAATTACAGGACATTCCCCTACAACAAAGAATTTTTCAGTGTAAAATGTTAGTAGTGCCAAAGTCAACCACCGCACCCTACTTTGAAGGTTTTCTCTCCATAGTCTGTCTCCAGCATCTTATCTGTAATCATCGTCTGATAAGGCTATTTTATTAGATGATTTGGTAGTTCTTGAGTGTATGCTTGTAATCAGTTTCATGCTGCATACTCTCTTACTTTAATAGATATTGTTTAATGAACTTAAAATCCTATTTCTATTAAGTGATTTTGACTTGGTAAATGTTTAAAATTGTTTTTTGAGGAGGTTGTAACTGCACATACAGAAAAGTCAAATTTAGTTAATAAAGGTATATAATTTTAAGGGAAGTGTCCATAAAATGATACATTTTGGATTTGCTTCAAAATAACTAGGGAATATTTTGAAATTCCTCAAAAAGTAAACAGAATTTGTCATCTGACCCCATAATACCATTCCCAGGTATATACTCAAGTTGAAAATGGTGCTGAAACAAATGTATGTACACTTAGGTTCATAATATTATTAATACAATAGCCAAAACAAGAAAATACCCAACAGTTCATCAGCTCATGAATGGATAAATTATGGATTAGTCATTCAATGGAAATTATTCATGTAAAAAAGGAATGAAATACTGATACACGCCACAATGTGAATGAATTTTGAAAACATTATGCCAAGTGAAAAGCTAGACACAAATGATCACATGCTGTTTCATTATTTATGAAAAATCCAGAATAGTCAGGCATGTTGGTGCATGCCTATAATCCCAACGGTTCCTGAGGCTGAGGCAGGAGAATTGTGAGTTCAAAGACAGCCTCAGCAACTTAGCAAGGCCCTAAGAAACTCAGTGAGACCCTATCTCTAAATAAAATAGAAAAAAGAGCTGTGCCTCAGTGGTTAAGTGCTCCTGAGTTCAGTTCCTGGTCGGTACCAAAAAAAAAAAAAAAAAATGGGGCTGGGGTTGTGGCTCCGTGGTAGAGTGCTTCCCTAGCATGTGTGAGGCACTGGGTTCGATTCTCAGCACCACATATAAAAACAAATACATTCATAAAGTTCCATCAATAACTATTGACATTTTTTAAAAAAAAAAATCATCCAGAATAGGTAAATCCATAGACACAGAACACAAATTGGTTCTTAAATAATCTTCCCTATTTTATCCTCTGGTTACTTAGTTTTCCCTCCCCAGAAACTACCACTCTTAAATATTCTTTATCAGATACATGGTGTACATTTCTGTGTAAATTATCTTTTTCAACACTATTTACTATACTTAACTGTTTTGTCTCTTGAGATAGATATATATATTTATATTTATATTTATATTGTGCTGGGATTGAATCCAAGGCCTTGTGCATGATGTGAGGCAAGCACTCTACCAACTGAGCTATATCCCCAGCCTTGTCTCTTGATTTTTTAATAGTTTGGCTTTTGTTTCTTATTAGTACATAAAAGACTGCCATATTCCTTTGCGGTGTATGCATAGTATTCCCTTGTATGAATCTAGTGTATGTTAAAGTGATCCCTTATTGAATATCTAAGTTGTTTACAATCTTATTTATTCTAACCAGTACTCTTGAATTATATATATTGTTTTACACATGTGCTAGTGTGTTTGCTAGATAAAATTACTTAAAGAAGAATTGCTTTCAAAGGGAACAGTTTTTAAATTTTTTGGTTTTCATCAAATTGCTTTTAGTAGAAGTTAGACCAATTTCTATTCACACAAGCAATGAATGGGTTTTCATTTCTCCATACTCAGTCAACATATGCATTTCCTATAATTCTTAATTGGAAAAGCGTATAATGAATCATAGATAAAGCATAACTGATCTTCATAAATCAGTGTGTTTTTTTCCTCTAAGGGGGAGGTGGAACAGAAAGAGAAAGACACTTAGTTACAAGATTTAATCTCTAGTTAATTTATCAACTTAAACATAGGTAGCAAACTTGTTTTGGGGGATCAGTAATTGATACACTGTTTTAAATCAAAACCATTTTCTTTTTTTTTGGGGGGGGGGGAGTACCAGAGATTGAACTCAGGGCCACTCAACCACTGAGCCACATCCCCAGCCCATTTTTGTATTTTATTTAGAGACAGGGTCTCACTGAGTTTCTTAGTGCCTTGCCATTGTCGAGACTGGCTTTGAACTAGTGATCCTCTTGCCTCAGCCTCCCGAACTACTGGGATTACAGGTGTGCAACACCACACCCAGCTAAATCAAAACCATTTTCTAAATGTTTAAGGAAGATTAGTTTTGGAAGTTTAAATTTTGGCAGCATAGAGTAATATATTTGGCAAAATGTGAAACTGTCATTTCTGTAGTTAATGTTGTTTCCATATGGTTCAGAAATACTAGGCTTTAAAATTAATACATTAACTTTTCTTTAAAAGAATGCCTTTTGATTTCCAATCACCAAGTAACTGATTACTATGTGATTACTTATTACTTACCTTTGAGGTGGTATATACAACCTCTGATACCATGGCAGTATGATTTAAGTCTGACAACCATTTTTACTGAATTATTCCATTATAAGTGTTTCTTTGTTTTTTTTTTTTTAAGAGAGAGTGAGAGAGGAGAAAGAGAGAGAGAGAGAGAGAGAATTTTTAATATTTATTTTTTAGTTCTCGGCGGACACAACATCTTTGTTGGTATGTGGTGCTGAGGATCGNTATTTATTTTTTAGTTCTCGGCGGACACAACATCTTTGTTGGTATGTGGTGCTGAGGATCGAACCCGGGCCGCACGCATGCCAGGCGAGCGCGCTACCGCTGAGCCACATCTCCAGCCCCAATAAGTGTTTCTTATTAGCCATGTTCTTTAGAGATAATTTAATAAAATGTACTTTGGCTAATTAGTTCTCAGAAAATGTATACAGCCTACATTTCAGGGAATTCTGAAGCTTTGCGTGTGTGGTGTTGGGGGGTACTAGGGATTAAACCCAGGGGCATTCTCCTGCTGAGCTACATCCCCAACTAACTTTATGTTATGTTATGTATATATGTATGTATTTATGTATTTATTTTTAAGACAAGGTTTTGCTAAGTTGTCTAGGCTGGTCCTAAACTCGTGATCTTCTTGCCTCAATCTCCCAATTACCTGCAATTAGAGGCATGCATCACTGTACCTGGCAAAGCTGTTTTTAAATCATAAATTTCCTTTGAATTAGTAACTAGTTGTTTCCTTGTTTGTTTATTCATTCAACTAATATTTATTTGGTGCCCCTTGTGCTTCCAGCACTGGAATATAATACTGAAAAAGACAAATACACCCCTTCCCATGTGGATTTTACTCCTAAAGAAGGCAAATGATTAACAGTAATAAAATTAGTAAACATGATAATTTTAAAGTTTGATAAATATTGCAAAGGAAATAAACAGGATGAAGTGAGAAGGGCTAGGGAGATGTCAAGAGATGGGTGATCAACGAAGGCCTTTTTGGGTAAAGTGACATTAGAGCTGACATTTCTTCTGAGAGATGAGAATGAGCATTTGGAAATAGGTACAGAATGAGCATTCCAGGCATTGGAACTTAGAACAGCTCAAAGATTTCAAAGAAACTGAGACCAGTGTGGCTTAGCACTTAAGGAACAAGAAGGAGAATGGAATGAAGCAAGCTTGAAGAGACTTGAGAGCCATCTGCCTTCCAGGTCTTAAGAATGCAGTGGGAGACAATGGAAAGAAATTTAAGCAGGGCTGCCATATGGTTTGAGTTGATGTTTAATAAGATCCCTGGCTTCTTTGTGGTGGATGAATTAAAAGAGGAGGCCTGAGTGGGTGCAGGGATACCCAGGAGGAGGCTAATGCTAGAGTTGAGAGAAAAGATATTAATCGTAATTTTTATGCAAGTGGTGGTGGTGGAGATGGATATAAATTGACTGATATGGCAGTATATTGTAGCAGTAGAACAGGCAGGACTTTTGATGGTGGCTTGATTGGAGGTGGGAATTAGAAAAGGACTTTTGGGGTTTTTGACTTGAACCATTGAGTCAATGGTGGTTCCATTTGTTAAAGAGAGGAATACTGATGCATTAATGGAGAGGTTATTTCATTTGGACAGGGAGGATAAGTTTAGAATTGAGTTCTCTTTAGAGTTTGAAATGCCTGTTAAGACATCAAAAAAATGTTAAGTGGACAGTTTGAAATAGAGGCTTGGATCTCAGGAGAAAGATTGAAACTAGAAAAATATAATATGGAGTTCATCAGCCTGTACTATATTTCATCAATTTCAAAAACACTTTTTTTAACTTTCTGACTTTTCAGAGATCAGGATACATCTTGTGATCATTGTCAGTTAGCTAATAATCATGATATAGTTGTCATTTGCTATTCAAGCATGCACAGGCAGAATTCTAGAATCAGACTGTGTAGAATGAATGTTAGCAGTTTGGTAGGGGGAGTCTGGAGTCAGTGTTGGAGCACGTTTTAACCCTCAAAACCTAAATAATTTGGGAGGAGGGAGAAGGGAAGAAATGAACCACACATGTTATTAACTTTTAAAATTTACTCTTGGTATCCTTGGGGGATTGGTTCCAGGAAGGCTCTTTTCAGATAAAAAAAAAAAAAGTCATAGGTGCTGAAGTCCTTAATATAAAATGATGTGGGAATTTGTATATAACCTGGACACATCCTCCTATATACATATGCTGTGCCAATAAACCCATTATAAACTCAAAAGATCTTAAGTTGAACCATGGTTAAATTGATCATCTCTAGAATACTTATGATACTTACATATTGGTTAGGGAATAAAGACAAGAAAAAAGTCTGTACATATAATCATTGGTGCAAGGTGAACATTGCTCAAATAATGATTGATGGGGAGAGACTTAGGGTCTATGAAATGGAGGGAGGTTTCAGTAGGGTATACCTATACATTACTTCATTCATGTGGATTCAGCATAATGCTTAGCATTCAGCAAATTCCTGAGAAAACTTTTTTCTAACACCCTGCATCTTTAGTCTAATGGCTAAGTACAGAATGAAAAAATGAGGCCATAGATTGGCAAAATGGTGTTCACTTTTTCTACTGTGATTTTGTTTCCTTTCTATTTGCTTCTAGGAAAAGGGAAATATGGAGGGTTGAGGTGGGTATATATTCAAAAGGAATCCAAGAATGATGGTTGGAATAGGACTTAGTAAAATGAATCAGAGAGTGAAGAACCATCTTGATTTTCTAGTGTTTTTCCTAACTAAATATTTTCATCCCCATGTCTCCCCACTTTTTTTAAAGGAAAACCTGGAAGAAAGGACAATAAACATGGGCTCTATTCAGGTAAATAAATTTACTTTTATTATGGTCAGAGATTTCATGTAGCTTAATGTCGTCAAGAGATTGTATACCTTTACTGTTTTCCAAATCTTAAGTCTGGTGCCTCTACAAAGTCAAAGTGAAATGTTTGCATTCTGAATTCATTCCTGTGATTTATATGGATTTATTGACACATACCTTCTTTATTCTTCTCTAGGATATAACTCTTCATTGTTTAATACTTGCTGTTGTGATCATGCATTGTCTCATTTAGTAGTATAGTTGTATGTATACAAACTGTACCTGTAATGAGATTAATTTAACAAAACTCTGTACAATTGTTTGATTATTATAGAAACTCCTTCTGTTTATTTATGTATTATAGGCAATAGTGTAATAATGTCTGCTCCTGTGTTATCTATTTTAGTTGTTAAATTTTTAGAGTATGGAAATGGTGGCAATTTTCATAGTATTTTGTTTAGTTGAACAGATTGTTTTTGCCAATATAATGAAAGGGATGTTTAGCCCTTAGACTTTGGGAACTTTCTGGTTTGAATGTTACTTAGTGACTCAGCTCCTGTTATGAACTTGGCCCTTCTTCTGAGCTAACTCTTATGTGTATCTAGGATGCTGTGAACTTTTCCTAGGGAAAGAAGAGGAAGTAGAAAATAAGCATATGTATTTCATAAGTACTTTTTCTTTTTTTCTGCCTGCAGGGGAAGAAATGGAACTGGTATTTGGAATATTTATTTTCAGAGGGGTTACAAGGCTTGAAACTTTTCATAGGAAGTAATATTCATCATTCTTCTGTCCCATGATCAGAGCTGTCCCCTGATAAACCACCATGGTAAATATTAAATGAATGTTTACATACACACCGAACTTGCTGGACTAAATTCCTTCCTCAATGCTAGAGAGGACAAGTAGCTCAACTTGTGTTTCCCTAACCATTTCATTAATGGACTGCCATTTTCAAGGAGTACTCAGAGTGGCCTTCTGTCCATGGCTCAGGAGGGCCTTGGTGCAGCTAACATTTTGTGATTTAGATTTTTAGCTTACTGGTAAAAATGACTTCTTCATCATGCTCTGTCTTCCATCAAATTATACGTGAAGAGACACATTTGCTTTGTGGTGGGATTTTTCACATTTTTGTATACTATGAGCTGCATTGATAGAAGAGAGCAGATCATACATAGTGGTAGATAATCCATAGACATACTCATGCAGAATACCCTGCTGCCTCTGTGAAACCTCTATGGATATTGCCATTTTTTCTTACTTGAACAAAAGCAGCAGCACCAAATTAATAGGATACAACACCTATGACTCTTAAGAGCCCTGAGTAGCTGAAGGCCTCCTGGGCCTTCACTGGTAGGAATCTGTTGAGGGAAGGAAGGGGAAAGGATGGGGAGGGGGGATAATCAAGACATTTCTGTTTATGCTGATATGGTTTCATGAAACTATTTTATTTGTGTGTATATGTGTATGTATATATCTACTTTTTAAATATTCAGGCCGTAATAAATTAACTGTAGCTTTACTTTCAGAAGTAATTCTGAAGCTTTTTATGATTTCATATCAGCTTAATTGTCTTGTTGAAAATGTAAACATTTGCTTCAGTGCTACTAAATAACTCTCCTACTCTTAATAAAATTCTTATCATTTGAGAGGAATGAAGCTGAATTTACCTTTGTTTTTAAGGGCACATTTTTATCATTCATTTTTTTTTTGTATTCATTAAAATGAAAATTATACTGTTGGATTGTAGAAATCCCATTCATTCATTCATAAATTGAATTATGTATTGAGCAGGGCGCAGTAGTGCATGCCTGTAATCTTAGCAGCTTGAGAGGCTGAGGCAGGAGAATTGCGAGTTCAAAGACAGCCTCAGCAAAAGCGAGGCAGTAAGCAACTCAGTGAGACCCTGTCTCTAAATAAAATACCAAAAGGGCTGGGGATGTGGCTCAGTGGTCTAGTGTCCCTGAGTTCAATCCCCAGTATCCCTGAAAAAATAGGTATTGAGTTCCTTACTATGTGCCAGGTATTCTTTGGTATGCAGGTTATACAGCTGTATCCCATACAAAGTACCTGCTTTATGGGGTTTACATTCTAATGAAGAAGACAAACAATAGCAATATAAGCAATGTATAATATCAGGTGCTAAGAAGAAAAGGCAGGGAATAGGGACAAAATGTGGAGGTGGTTGCTTCTATATATAAGGTAGTTAGGAAAGATCTATCTGAAGAGGTGATATAGGTAGAGAGCCTCATAAGCATATGAGCCATGTGACTGAGAAAGACCATTCTTCACAGAGGTAAACGCAAGTGAAAAGGCCCTAATATGTTAACTTACATATTTAAGGACAAGCAGAGGCTGGTGATGTTATAATGTAATGATTAAGAGAAAAGAGTGATAAGACCTTTATGAAAGGTCCATTTAGCCTGGTATGGATATGTAAATGGAGGCCATTAGTGAGATGGAGAAGAGGAGTGGCATAATTTGGCTTATGTGTATGAAATATGAAGCTACATTGTGAAAGTTAGACTGAAGAGGATTGAGGTGGAAAGCAGAGAGACCAGTTAGGTTATTACAGTATTCCAAGCAAGAGTCTTGGGGTAGCCTTAGAGATGATGGAGAAGTGGTTAGATGTTGGATTCAGTCTCTATTTTGAAGGTAAAGGAAGTTAGGATTTACTGATGGCTTGGATATTAGGAAGAAGAAAGAGAAGAGTAAAGGATGACTCCTAGATCTTTTTTCAACCTAAACGACTGGGTGAATTCTAAGATAGAGATCAGGCATACTGGAGGAAGAACAGGTTTGGAGAAGCATGGAATTGAGCTCTATTTTGTCCATGTTGGTTTGTAGATGACGAATAGACAATTGGATTTCAGAGTATAATTTAGGGCTTGAAAATTAATCTGGCAGTCATTAGGGAATAACCATGGCATTAGATGAAATCACTTAATTCAGCTGAAAAAGAGAAAATGGCAAAGGACCTAACCCTGGAGTATTCTAACATTAAGAAGTAAAAAATAGGAATAATAACAAATAAAAGACTGCAATGAACTAGAGGAAAAATCAGGAGATTGGTATGCTGGAAGCCAGGTAACAAAAGGGTTTCAAAAAGGTGGGAATGTTTCTATATGTTCTCATGTACATGTAGAAGCTCAAAAAGTTGATCTCATAAGAGAGAGTAGAATAGTGATTAGCAGAGGCTGGGAAGAGTTGGGGAGTGAAGTTTGGAGAGAGGATGGTTTACAGGTGTAGGGGTGCAGAAGGGAGGGGGAACTAATGTTTTATATAGCACTGTAGGGTAACTGTGTTTGACAACAATGAATTGCATATTTCAAAATGGCTCCTAAAGAGAATTCTGAATGTTCCCTAATACGAAGAAATGATATATATTTGAGATGTAATATATATGCCAGTTATCCTGATCATTATACTTGTTTGTATGTATTTATTGAAATATCACACTGTACCCCATAAATATGTATGATTATGTGTCAATTAAATATTTTAAATCAAATAATAAAAATTCAATTTCCAAATAGAAGAATTTTTGCCAGTGTGGAATATTACCTGTATACCTTAGAAAAAGAAGCTTTAGCTGCCATAAATGTGATGGCTTCCCCAAAGGGCAGCCTTTCTCATTTAGAGATTTCTCTTCATTTCAAAGTTAGTACTCCAAATAACTTTCCATCTTATTTGCAGAATATGTTGTTTTGGTCCTTAAAATTATGTAGAACTTTCAATTATGAGAAGGGATTTGGTTTCTTTTTATTCCATTAAATTTAACTTCTAACAATCTTCAAGTCATTGAAGAAAATTTCTAAAATTAAATTTATGTTCCAGGAGGAAAAAATTTTTTCTTGGGTTTGTTCTTTTGTTCACTAATGATCCAAGGGTGTGTTTTTTTGTTTTTTGTTTTTTTTTTTTTTTTTTTTTTACTGGGGATTGAACTCAGGGGCACTTGACCACTGAGCTACATCCCCAGCCCTATTTTGTTTTTAATTTAGAGACAAGGTTTCTCTGAGTTGCTTAGTGCCTTGCTTTTGCTGAGGCTATCTTTGAACTCATGATCCTCCTGTCTCAGCCTCTGGAGCTGCTGGGCTCACAGGCATACACCACCCCTCCAGGCTCAGTGGGTTCTTTTTTTGCTCATATTTCTCTTGGTCAATTTTAGATCCATTCAAGATTAGATATATAGCTGTGTAAATAAGCTAAGTCTAGCTATTTCAAAAGTCTGTTTTGAAAACTCTTCATGGCAAAAAATGGATTTAAATAAGACTTGTTATTTTGCGTCAGTACAAAAGATATCTGAAGAAAATGGAAATTTTGGTTTTATTGCAATTGTACATAAAGAATACTTTCTTTACCCAATGTTTGTGTAAAATTGTTGGCTTTATAAATTTTCAACACTAAAGTTAATATTAGAGGTTTTTTTTTTTCAGTATTGGAGATTGAATCCAGAGCATGTTCCATTTTATTTCCAATTCTTGTTTTAAAATCCAACATCTACAGTTTTTTATATTTTCCTTAGTGTGTTATAGTTACATATAATATTGGGAATCATTTTGACATAATCATACATGTATGAAATATATTTGGGTCTACTTTAGTCCCCAGTATTTCCACCTTCCCTTCATTCCTCTCTCACCCTTTTCTCCTTCCTGTACTGGTCTTCCTTCTATTCATTTATATTTTTTTTTAAATAGGAGCTTTATAGATATACATAAGTATGAAATTCACTGTGGTATATTCATATGTGTACACAGCAATGATTTCTAACATCTTATTTTCCTATGTATTATAGCTTTTCCTTTCTTTTGATCTGGGAAAAAGAAGTAGCTAAGTTTATGGTGCCTGTTATAACTTTTATTAACATAGGAGAATAGTTTATTAAAAAACATTATTCTCTAAAATTAGTATTATATTTTTAAGACGTCTTTTCAGTTGGTACTACCATTCCTTTTTTTTTAAAGAGAGAGAGAATTTTTTAATATTTATTGTTTAGTTTTCGGCGGACACATGATCTTTGTTTGTATGTGGTGCTGAGGATCAAACCCGGGCCGCACGCATGTCAGGCGAGCGCGCCACCGCTTGAGCCATATCCCCAGCCCTCCTTTTTTTAAATTACTGGAATTTCTAATATAGAGAGCCTGTATTTTAGTTAAGTAAAAATTCTACTAAAGATGGGCAATAGCATTTAATGGAGTGTATCATTGGCCCAAATGACAAATGTTTTATTTTTATAATACTCAGAAAAAGATGTCTTTCTAAGAGACATAGTAATACATGTAAATTAAAGTCTACTTTTAAGTATGTAACAGGAACACAAATTTATTTAGCTCATCAGAAAGAACATTAGCGTATCTATCTAGATTTGGTACACAGAACTGGATTGTAGATGCCAAAGTCCTTTGTTGCTTCTGGTTTATGTCATTAATGAATGTATGACCTTGGAAAAGTTGGTTAACTATTTTGCCTCCTGATTTCCCCTTTGGTGAGATTTATATTTGAATGTCTTATCTTTCCAAGCTTTGATATAGAAAATGATTTTAAAAACTAAAATATTATTAAAATAGGGGAAAAAAGATCTAGAACTTTTTCCTGCCTTTGAAGTGTGATTCATGTAAATGTATTTGAAGACTATCCCAGAAGGTAGTAGCTCATTTTCTATCATTTTTCATTTTCTATCATTTATCTTTATGTGTGAATAGGTTACCTGAGCCTTTCTGGATGAAGGGCAAAAGGTGTGGTTGAATGAGCACTTATTTAATAGATTAACATCCTAGATATTCATGAGTATTCCAGTCCTGGATACAATGACTCAATTTTACCTATGAAATTGAACAAGATTTAATTTT